CAGGCTTGGTCGGGAAGGGGGTGCGATCGCACTCGATAATTGACCACGGAAATTATATTTACTTGCGAAAAGCCGGCCAGATTTTTCAGGCGTTTTGAGAACATTTCAGTTTATGTATGTTTCCTTGTTTGTCTGCAAAATAATAAGTTCATTTTATCGTAAATTTTAAAAGATTTTGTTTTACGGACGTACATGGAAACTTATATAAACTAGAATGTTGTCAAACATCTTAGTGCGGAAAATAAATAAAGAATATTCGCGAACACAAATTTGTTTTAAATTTATATTTTTTAACTTGTCAACGTTTTGTAAATATATTATGAATTTAATTAGTATAATCTTATTTTTTATATATAAGGGATGTATTTATATGTATGTAATGTATTAGAAATTGGTTTATTAACTTCAATTATTTTTGCTTCAGCCATTCTTACAAACTCGTTATACTTACACTTAAAGTTTTTTTTTTTTTCTGTAAAATACTAGTTAAAAATATAAAGCCCACTCACTAAACATCATCAGCGATGATGCAGTTCCGCTTCCTCCTTACAAAGTAATTTAACGTTTTTAGTTAATTTTTATCTAGCTAATTAAATTTCCACAGTAACTCAATGATTTTGTTATTTCATTTGTCCATCTTACTAAGAAGAATTGTTTCAAATATGTTAAACTTTTCAAACTACGCGAACACATAAAACAGGTACTGAAAAAACTTTTTTTATTTATAATTAAATTATGTAGCGTTAGTTTTACTGGTTTAATCTTATTGGACTTTACAGGGCCGGGGGCTGCATTATTTTGGTGGCCTTTTTAATGTGCGACAGCGTAAAAATGACATAAAAATACTGATAGGTCCTCTTGACTATTTTTCGGCCCATAACATTGTGTGTCCCGGGACTATAGCTCTTCTACCCCCCCCACCTCTTATTTCCAGCACTGGAAACAAGACATAAGTATATAAATAAAAATAATATATATAATCTTTGATAAATTGAAAAACATTTGTTTCTTTATTAAACAATCATTATAAGTACGTTGTTACTATATACAAAAAATGTCGCTATTTTTAAAAAAAAAAAATTATAAAAGAGCGACGTTTCAAAAATATTAGCTCTAATCATATTTATTTTGCTTAAAGTTTAGTGTTAAAAGCTATTTTTCTTTTTTTTTAACTGTCTCTCATCGGTCCAGTTTATCTTATTGCGCTTTTTGCTTGTTTTTGAAATGTTCTCAAAACGCCTAAAAAATCTGGCTGGCTTTTCGCAACTAAATATAATCTCCGTGGTCAAATATCGAGTGCGATCGCACCCGCTTCCCAACCAAGCCTGTAGAACTATTACCAGTTGTAACTATATCTGAAGGAAATTATTCCAGATGTTATTGGACTTTAGAAAAATTCTTAGATGTAGTTACATCTTCCTAAAAATGTTGCTAAGGGTCATTGAATTTCCAGATAATATTGGACAAATATTGTTGGAGTTAAAGAAAAATATAGATAATCTAGGACTACACAACAGATGTAGCTTTCACAATTTTTTTTTTGTTTTTGCATCTATTACTTTTACTTCTTTAAAAAAAATATATATATATATTTTATATGTATCTTTGAAAACAAAACAAACCATGCAACATTTCGCTGTAGATCCAGTTATCCTGTATTACTCTACATGATGTAATAATTTATTATTTCATGTTCAAGTGTAGATATACTTCATAACATTGTTTACATAACTGGATTGTAAAAATGTTTTAAACTTGCAAACTTTTTTTTTTTTTTCGTTCCTCATTAAAATACTGAAAACTGTAAACAATAGTTGATACTATTGTTTACAGTGCATACACACTGAGAATGTGCTCTAAAAGAAATATAAGAGGACCTACTTATAATGTTATTATTCTGGTTCTGCATATAATTAAAACTATAAAAATTAAAACTACTTTGTTTTTCCAAAAAGTTTACTGCATAATTATCCTTTTTGTACCTAATATTTAATATTAATAACTTTTTGTACTTAATATGTTTATACATAAAAAAGCCATTATTTCATAACGTCATAAATCGATTATAAAAAGAACAGAACTGCCAAGTTTAACTTAAAGACCCCGTCAACTATATATATAAAACAAAATGCAAAATATATTAACTTCTTAAGAAATACCTTTACCATCATTGATAACTTTTTTTTGGCTGCATACTTGTATATAATTAACATGATTGCATAGAGCTTGAAAAAACCTAATTCAGCTTTAAAAACACAATCAAAATATTTATTAAAGATGTTTTATACAACTAGATGTTAGCTTGTTGTTGCTTTCAACTTTAATTTAGTTTATTTTAAGAAAATTTTATTAACTTAATTAAAAACTTGATAATCAAATTTTATTAATATAGTTCAACTAAATTATGCAAATAAAATACTTTATCCTAATTATAAAACCTAGTAAAAGATTACTACATTTGTCCAACAACATCTGTAGAGTAGTCTAAGATCATTTGTATACTTTTGTTCAAGATAATCTGTTTTTTTTTTATTCCATTAACATTTGTTCAGTATTATCTGGAAATTCAATGATCCCTAACAACATCTTTAGGAAGATGTAACTATATCTGGTAATTTTCTCCCAGCCTGTAATCCATCTGGTAATTTTTCTCCAACAAAGTCTGGAAGAATTTTCTCCAGATGTAACTACATCTAAAAAAAACCCATATATGAAATTACATCTGGCTAAAGGAATGCATTTATGTTTAATATTTTTTTCCAGATGTAACTACATCTTAAAAAAACCATATGAAACTACATATGGTTAATATAACGCATTATATTATATTTTTTCAAATGTAACTACATCTGAAAAAAAGACATATATGAAACTACATCTGGGTAATATAATGGATTTTAATTTAATAACTCCATAAAATCCTGTAGTTATACTTAATATAATTGAAAAGATGTAACTGGAGAATTCACAGATGGTTAGCTATATTTTGAATGATACAAAAATAGGTTCGCAATATTGAAGAAAACATAGACCTAGAGTGTCTTCACAAGATATTGTGCATTCAAAGTTTTTATTAAAATGTAGGACCTACCTTTAGATCATCCTATTTAAACATTGCTTTAATAATTATAGCAAATATCTCAGTAAAGTTTTATTGTTTCTAATATTGTTTTAAAGTTGTTTGTCAAGGTTCACAAGTTAAGCAAAGCACTACCAGGAGCGTGGTGGATTGATCTCAGAACTTCTCGCTTATGAGGCAAGCTATTACTATTTATCACTTTGATAACTAAAATGCACTCTACAAAATGACAATTAGTAGCAATTTTATTATGAAAAGAGATTAATTTGACCATTTGATCAACTGATGTTAAGGTAGCAAATACTTTAAAGAAAAAACACTCTCACTATTCTCAACAAAAGCATGACTTGCTTTGATACATTAATCATTAGAAATTTTTCAGGAATTTGTTTCGAACACATCTTTACAATTATAATTTCTAATCACATGAACTGACTTTTATTAATGAGTTAAGTAGACAACATTTTGATCAATATAACATATTTTGTATTAGTTATGTATATATACTATCTATGAAAGATTTTAATTCTATACAGATATAATCAATATAGAATAAAATTTATAATTAATATGCATACATCCTATCTAATATCATTATAGAATATAAAAGTATAAATAGAACAAAAATGTATAAATGATAAACATTAATTTCTTCTTATATCAATATTATAAATATGATTGTAGATATATTATAATGACATCACAAATATAAGATAGAAATCTATAACTTTTTATGTATCTTATTAAGATATTACATTATATATCTATATATATCTTATTAAGATATTTACATTAAGATTCTTAATGTAAATGTAAACATGGACTTCTATAACCTTATATTTATTTTGAATGAAGGTAAATATAAGATTTTGTTATAAAAGAATTTTTATAATCTATTCTCATCATATAAGAATTATTAATAGAAAAACTCACCATAGTAATTTATTATTTTTCAAATTTAATAAACCAGTTCTGATAAGTTTTAAGTAGTTGCTATTAGAAGAACGCGCGTTGCTTTTTAATTTAAAACAAGGTTTAGAATTTAAACCTACAAAAAACAACGCATGCGTTAAAAATTTCCTCAAGTCTTAGAGTCCGGCTAACGAGATGTTTTAAAATCGGACTCTGCGAAACTCAAAATTTTTAACCAATCAAAACAGGGATCGATCTCAGGAAATAGCCGTTCGTTAAACGGGTGCAAACCGCCATATTTATTTCAAGTAATAATAATAACACGAGGCATGTGTGTATTATGCCGAACAACAATTCCTTCTTAAATTTTTTTTTTTTTTTTTTTTTTAATTCAAAGATTTTTCATATAGCTAAACAAGTTCTTTATAATATACACTGTTAAATGAAGTCCCTCAAGTAGGCAGGTCTGTTTTTAGTCCTTAGAGATCTTCGCAAATCAGGCTGCGGTTCAGTCGATAGAGTTTCAGGAATACACGTAACTTCTATTTCGTTGTTTGCTGTTTCCTCATTTGATGTAGGTGTGATAACAGCCGGTAAATCGTATGGCAAATCAAGTTGTTCATGCTGATATACTAGTGGTTGCTCATTGGTTTTAATCAGATGTTTACGATTGCGTCGATATACTCTTCCGTACTTATCTACCACGTTGTATGATCTGGGTAAAGTTAATTTTTCTTTAACTTTCACTTTCTTCCATTTTCCATCTTTTCTCATACGGGCAGTGTCGTTTGCTACGAGATTTGGGAGTTTAGATGCGTTTCGATCGTAGTATTGTTTTTGACGATTTCTGGACTTGGTGATCTGACTATAAGCATTTACAGGTACTGCTGGTATAAGTAAGTCATGGTGGACCGTTAGGGTTGTTCGCGTTCTTCTGTTCATGAAAAGTTGGGATGGGGAGTAGTCCATACCAGTAAGAGGCATGTTGAGGTATTCTAGAAGACCAAGCTCAGGGTTGTCGCATTTTTTTTAGTATTTTCTTCATAATTTTTACGCCCATTTCACTGAGACCATTTGATTGGGGATAGTTTGGACTTGATGGAGTGAAGTTAAACCCATATTCTTTTGAGAAGTTAAGAAATTCTGCATTGTTGTAGGGGTTGTTATTGGCAATGAGACTTGAAGGTATTCCGTGACGAGTAAATATGGTTTTCATAAATTTGATTACAGAAAATGCCGTTTTGTCAGGAATGACACTGTTTTCTATAAATTTAGAAAAGTAGTCTATAACAATTATATAGTTTTTTCCATGCAACTCATATATGTCTGATCCTACTTTACTCCACGGTAAGTCAGGAATTTCGTGTTGAATGATTTTTTCCTTTTTGTTGTTGTTACGGTATTTAAGGCATTTATGGCAATTAAGTATTAGTTTATCAATGTCGCTTGTAAGTCCTGGCCAGTAAACAACGTTTCGAGCTCTAGCTTTCGTCTTTTCGGTGCCAAGGTGTGATAAGTGAAGCTGTGTTAATGTAAGGGGTCTCATATCAGTTGGTATGACTATTTTATTTCTTTTAAAATTATTCCCTCTGCTATGTGTAAGTTGTTTCTGATGGTCCAATATTTCTTATCTTCACCACAGAGCATTTGTCGGTTTCGGGGCCAACCATAAGTTATATAGTTTGTTATTTGAGAGAGCACAGGGTCAAGTTTAGTGTCATGCTGCAATTATTTAAGTCTGTCTGTTAATATTGGCAAATTTTGAACTAAAGTGTGGACCATAACGCTGCAGTCCTCATTTAGGCTATCATCCTCGTCAAAAATGTTGAGGTGAGCAGGTGATAAAGAGTCTGCATGGTGTAGATCTTTTCCTGGAACATATTTTACTATAACTTGATATTTTTGAAGTCTAATCAGAAGTCTTTGTATGCGAGGTGGTGCTTCTGACAGTGGCTTGTGCAAGATATATTCAAGAGATTTGTGATCACTTTCTATTGAGACCTGTCGCCCATAGGTATATTGGTTGAAACGTTCACAAGCAAAAACTATTGCTAAAAGTTCTTTTTTCTATCTGGGCATATCTCTGTTCTGCTATGGTTAGACTACGAGAAGTATAGCTGATCGGGTGACCTTCTTGCATAATACAAGCATGTGAAGATGTCTACCTGAATTTGAACATCTTTTGACGTGTCGAAAAATGAGAGTACAGGAGAAGGTGAAAGACCCTGTTTAATTTTTTTCATAGCACTGGTATGTTCATGGTTCCATGACCAGTGTATGTCTTTTTTAAGCAGCTGGCGGAGGGGAGCTGTTATCTCTGACATATTTGGGATAAACTGTCGCAGGTAGTTGACCATTCCTAAGAGCCGTTGCAAATCTGCTTGACATGCAGGCAATGGGTTTGCAGATATGGGTTTAGTTTTTTCAGGATCAACTCTTATGCCTTCATGGTTGATTATGTTGCCAAAATACTTGACCTCAGATACTCGAAATTGTATTTTTTTTTAGGCTGAATTTGATGTTTCTTTCACGAGCTCGTTGTAGAATTTGTTGGAAAATTTTATCATGCTCTGTATCTGTTTTAGCTGCAATAATCAAGTCATCGTGGATAGCCAGAACATTAGGAATATCACCAAAATTAAGTTCAATCATCTCTTGTGCAGCATCCGATGCGCATGATATGGCAAATGGCATGAGGTTGAATTTGTATCGGCCATAAGGAGTGTTAAATGTGCATAGCTCTGAAGAAGGTTCATCTAGTTTTTTATGCCAATAGCAATTAGCCATGTCTATAAAAGTGAAAACTTTGTTGCCGCAAAGTTTAATAGAGATTTTTTTGTAGATGGAGTGGTTTTGTATTGTCTTAAAACAGATTTGTTTAGTTCTCTCGGATCAATGCATAATCTTAAGGATCCATCTTTTTTCTCTGCGATGACCATTGAGTGTACCTAGGGTGTCGGTTTAGAAATTTTTGAGATAACTGTGGCTTTTAGTAGACGATCAAGTGTGCTTTTAAGTTTAGGTAGGACAGTCATTGGTACTTTCCTTGGTGCATGAATGACTGGGATTGCATCTCTAGCAAGTGCGATATGATAGTTTCCTTTAACTAAACCAAGTCCGGTAAAAACATCACTATAATGTTTTAAGATGTTAGTTTTATCTATTTCAACATTGTTAATGTGTAGTATTTCAAGAGATTTGCAAGAACTTAGACCAAGATGTGGTTTTACGTCAGACAGAGATACAACAAATAACTGACACACTTGTAAAATGTTATTCTTTTTATAGTTAGGTTGCATATTCCTAGTACAGGAATATTGTTTCCACCATATGATTTTAGTTGAGTTATTGTTTTTTTGAGAGGAGGTCTTCCAGGAATAGAGTTGTAGACGTTGTATGGAATAACATTACATTGGGCTCCAGTATCTAACTTAAATGTTATATTTTTGTTGTTGACTGTAATATTTGTTGTTAAATCGTCAGGACATTCCATTGATGCTGCAACATGATGAATATATAACTCTGCAACGTTGAGGTTGACTTCCTTTTGGTCAACTTGGTCTACACAATTAGTATTAAAGCGGTTAGTTTTGGATCTGCATACTTTAGCAAAATGGTTTAGTTTTTCACATGCTGTAAACTTTAGGCCATATGCTAGGCAAAACGAGGTAGTATGTTGTGATCCACAGTAGTAGCATGATTTTTGTAAAGGTCTTTCAATCTTTAGGGAGTTGAAATTAAGACTGTTTCAATGTTTATTTATAGAATCTGCCTGGATTGTATTTTCAAGGGCTTTTAATTGTGTTTTTGAAGTTTCATATGCTCTCATGAAACTGATTGTTTTCTCTAGAGTAAGCTCAGTGTCTCTAAGTAGTCGTTTTCTGGCAGCTTTAGAGTCGATTCCACAGACTACTCTGTCACATATTCGAGGGTTCCAAACTCGCACGTTTTAGCTTTATTTCGTAAATCGATTAAGAAGTCAGTAAATAGTCTGCTGTCTTGCATACATGTATTGAATAAATAACGTTCATAAGTTATGTTTTTTTGGGGGCTGAAATAACATTCAATCTTTTGAACTAAAGGTGCTAATTTATCGTTGTCTTCGATAGTGAAAACAAATGTATCATATACTCTAAGCGTCCTCGCCAATCATATGAAGGAAGGTGGCACATTGGATATCTTCATTCTTGTCATTGACTACTGAAGCTATTTTATAAAGATTCCATCTCTGTTTCCATTTTTGCCAGTTTTCTGAAACATTGCCATTTAAATTCATGGCCTCTAATGGTCTAAGTTGTTCCATTTTATTTAAAACACAGGTTTACTTCTGGTACTATTTAATATTCTGAGAATGATGTTATACTAAGAACTAAATACAACAAAGTTTAAGGCGTGCAAACCGCCATATTTATTTCAAGTAATAATAATAACACGAGGCATGTGTGTATTATGCCGAACACGGATATTATATATATATATATATATATATATATATATATATATATATATATATATATATATATATATATATATATATATATATATATATATATATATATATATATATATATATATATATATATATATATATATATATATATATATATATATATACATATATATGTAAGCGTTAATAACAATTGTTAATACTTTTTTATTAGGCATATATTATCCTAAATATTACTTGCTTATAAAGTGAAAAACAAAGTAATTAATATATAAAATATATAATTTCTTACATAAAAAGTGTTATGCAATTATATAGAGCAAAATAATTATATTTTAATAGTTAAATAATTTTCGGTACAATCTAATCAAAAGCATTTGCATTTCAATTGGGGCAATAATTTATTATTTTTTATTATTCACAACTACCGTGCCTATTAAAAAGCATTGCAATTAATTACGTAACTAATTTGTTTTAAATTTTTTTTTTTTAAAAATGTGCTTTTTATTTTAGTTTTTTAGAGAAATTCTACAATAAAATTTTATTGTAGAGTTTTTAATTGTTGCAATAATTCTTAAAATGCCTGCGTTCTATTGCAATAGGAAAAAATAAAACATTTTTTATAAGCAGTAAAAAATTTTATATCTTTTTATTAAAGTTTTTATCAAATAAGTAATGTTGTTAATAAATAAATGGATAGTTGTGACAACGAAAGACAAAGCTTTACTAAAAATTTTTTCACAGTTCCAATCGATTTAATGGCTATTATTATTATTATTATTATTATTATTATTATTATTATTATTATTAATATTATTATTATTATTATTATTATTATTATTATTATTATTATTATTATTATTATTATTATTATTATTATTATTATCAAACTACAACGACATCGTTGTGAGAAATGGCTATATAGACCATTTATGGTAGTTGTAAATATGCATTTTTTAATAATTGTCATGATTATTTTTAAAATTTTGTTTTACTATCTTATTTATTATCTATTGGCTTGTGTATTTCGTTTATATAAAGAAAGTTTTTATAGTTGCAAGTTTTTAAAATGATAACCTTAACAAAACTTTCATAAATAAAGTTTTAACGATCGCTCAAAGCATTTAACCAGATAGTTCTAAAATGTTAATTTATTTGCATTGTTATTTAGAAAGTATAAAACTCACATTTTAAATATTATTAAACTTATTATTTAAAATTAAAAGAAGTTTATTTTGTAGCTTTTTAAATTGTATTACTTATATTGTTGTTCATAAAGTAATATTTAAACTTCTTGATTATAACTTTTTTTTTGTTTAAAGTTTTATTAGAAATGTCTAAAATAAATATGCTTAAAAATGAAGACAAAATTTATGTTGAAACAAAATATGATTTTGAAAATACGTCATGGGATGTTAAAGCACTGCTTAAAGTTAAAGATGAATTCTTTCAGGTTTTTACTTATTATAAACAAGAAATTGGCAAAATAAACTCTGATGAAAACGAAGTTATGAATGTGAAAAATCAGAGTTTAAAATGCATTGAAGAATTTTTCGATCTTTATAATTTTGCTAGCATTATTGATCAGAAAAAAAAAGACAGCAATGAACTTATTTCAAAAATGATTAAAAAAAGACTTAATGAATGTAAGTTACTTTTAGATCAATTAGCAAAGTCGGACCACTTTATTTCAAATTTTGGTCATGTATATTCAGTGATAGAAAAAATGGACCAAGATTCAAAAAATGAAATGAACAATAATAACTATGATAAAAACTGCAAAAGGGAAAAACAAGAAAAGCCATGCTCGGATTTGAAAAATTCATTAGGTATTAATTCAGATTCAGGTATACATACAATTTTTTGGTCTGTAATTGCACTTATCAACAGATTTACTTCAATAACATTTATAACTGCATCCAATTATGTCAAATTTGCAGTTGGTAAAATTATTGAAATTATTTGTGTTTTACTTCCGTTTATTGTCACTGGAGCTGCTGGTGCAGCAACTGGATACGGAATTTATTATGCCCTTACAATGTCTAAATATGCTGCTGTTATTGGTACAAATGGAACTGTATGTGCTACCGTTATTCCAGGAGTTGTTGTTTCTCTACTTGTTGGCTATTATTTATTTTAATGATAATATGAATAAAATACAAAAACATTTTTAAGATTGAGTAGGTGATCCTTGAAATACAAATAAGTAAATAACATGATTAGATTATTATAGAAATTGATTTAAAACTTTATTTCAGAATAAAAATAATAAAATTTCATTAGTATAAATTGGATTAATTACACTAACTGCTTTATTTGGTAATTACATTTTAAGAATTTTGTAAATGTTTTAAAAAAAAATTTTGAAGTTGTATTAATTTGTTTAAATATATTACATATTTTTTTATATCTGTATTTATTTTGTGTTTAAAGTTCTAATCAATTCCCATAATTCTACAATTATTGTCTGTTATTCTTTCTTTTAAACTTTGAAAAAATGCGCTCCAACGGAAAAGTGACATCGTCAAGGGTAGCACCAAGTAGCAAGGAGTTATATAATAGCGTTGGTGTCTGGCTGACAAAAGTATAACCAGAAAATACAATCTTGTTTAAGTTAAATTAAAATTAAAACAAACTTGTAAACTTTCAATCTTTTATTTGAATCACAAGCTGTTTGTCGGTTATTAGTTGTCCCGGAATCTTGATTTTGAAATCAATTGATTTTCAACTACGTTCCAGACAACCTACCTTTGGCTTTACTATAACCCAGACTAGTTAGCTAGTTTAAATTTATATTATTGGTTTAAACAAACATTGTAGTTTATTAAGATCGAAACGTAAGATCCGTGGTTCAAACCACACCTCTGGGCAAGTTTTGCGACATCGGTTGGGAAGAAGGCGTGAACTTCCCAATAAATGCTCTTCCGCGGTGCTCTGTGATAAGACCGTAAGGACTTCTTAGGGCACCTTAGTCAACTTAAAAAAAAAAAAAAAAAAGTTTATATGCCATCTCTTGTTCTATTAAAAAAACTTTTGCATAAATGTTTGAAAAAATCGTTTGCATAAATATGTTTGAAGTTTATTTTTATCCTTTGCATGTTTGAAGGTTCCAACAAGGTATTGAAACATCGAACCAAATCTTTTATGTAATTTTATTTATAACAGCTCAGCAAAAGAAGAATTCTCTCAAAATAATTTTAGCATTTGGTACTTAGATTGATTTACCCATTGTCATGCAATAAATCCTTAAAAATATTAAATTAATGTTAACTTTCCTTTAACACGAAACATTCTTTTTGCAAAATGCAAGTTTGTTTTCATTGACATCAATTTAAAACCCATTATTCATAAATCAATACAATGCTTGGCAAGCAATTCCGCTCAGAGGTAACTAGCAAGAAAAATCAACATTAGATTCAAGTTCAAACTTTAATAAACCTTTGATGATACTTCCTATAGGTTGCATGCAAAACGTTATTAAAAGCTTCGCATGCGTTATCAAGAATTTCGTAATTATAAAGTTCTTGATAACATTTCTAAAGCAATTGGTTCAAATCTTGATATTTAGTGTTAGCTAAAATATGTATGCAAGTTCAACCTAAACATAAAAACTTAAACTTCACAAGGATTTTGACTTGCTCCAACAGTATTGTCACATTAATAAAAATTACGTTCCTATTGGTCAGAACAGCGTTAAACATCGTTGTTGCCTGCTGCAACTTCATTTGCACGCTTTATGTTCAATGCTCATACCAACATATAGATAAAGATATTCTTTCACTAGTCTTATAATAATGCTGATTGCGTAAAATTAAAGTTATATTCAGAACGTAATTTTTCAGAATCATTATTTTTATGGGGAGAGGAATCCTCCCCCTAAAAATTATGATTTTTGTGTTATTGCAATAAATCATAATCTAGTGAGAATATCACCCGCCATTTTTGAAGTTAATGGTTCAAATCAAAAAAAAATTTTCAGTTTGAAAAAATTTAACTTTTCAAAAGTCAATTTTGCAAAAACCATGTTTTTAATAAGCATTGCAAAACCAAAAAAAAGGTTCAAAATACATTTAAAATCTGTTTTAATAGTATTTTGAAACTTTATTTTGATACTCGTCCGACCACTTGTTTTTATGATGCGCATAATCTATTAAATGAATTTACATAAACTATATTTAAAAACTTTTTACTGATTTCTTTTCTTGGGACGAGAAAACTACGTTTTTTGAGCTTATGCTATTTTTCTATTTACCTCAAGTAACTTCAATTTATCAAACCTAAAAAAAAAAAAAATTAATAAAGGTCCTTGATCTATCGAAACAAATATGCTCCTACAACTTTTCTTTGATGTGCGTAGTTTTAGAGATTTTTATTTTTTAACCCTTCTAAATAATCGAAACTTAGTTCAAATTAAATTTTCAGTGGCATAATATAAAATGAGAAGCTTTTGAGTATAAATTAAGTTAAATTTCTTTTTATCAGTATATTTTTATTTAATATCTTACAAAAGCAAATAAGCACAACCTTTATTAAAAATGTATGTATACATAGACGCAGAGAAATGCATAGCGGAGTGTACATAAAAAGCGGAGTGTAAATAAAAAGATCATACATAAAACAATTCACATACATGCAAAACTCGATATATAGATCGAGTATACATAAATCGAGTGTTCTTACCCAGTGGGCACGGCGACGTTGGATTAACGTAAAGCGACGTCAAACGCGACGTCAGATTAACGTTGGAAATGGAAAGTTGGATATACGTTAATATGCGATGTAATGGCGATGTCAATTTTTAATGTTAAGACGATGTTACTAGCCGATGTAGTATTGACGTCGCATTGCGATGTAATAGCGATGTAAAAATTCGATGTCGCATCGATGTTAGTAATGGAAAGTAAGACTAATATTATAATCCGATGTTAAGTTGACGTAAACCAATTGGTTTACGTCAACTTAACATCAGATTATAATGTTAGTCTTACTTTCCATTACTAAAATCCCTTAAGGGATTTTAGAAAAACGTTTAATTAAATATTTTATATATTAAGTTTTAAGCTTTAGAAGGAAGTAAAATTATATATATAAAAAAAAAAAGAATAAAAAGATTTCCAAATAAATATATAATTATGGTATTGAAATATAAAACAAGATTTACTAGTTAACCACTCATTTGCTTTTTACATTTTAACAATTGAAAAAATATAATGTTGAAGACCGTCTTCCGCCTGTGGCCTTGTCTGAAGCGTATCGCAAAATATCTTTTACGCAGTTTAATACATCTTTTTTGTTAAATTTTCTATCCTTCATTGCTGCACCTAAAGTAAAAAAATTTATATAAAAATCAAATGTTTGCAAATAATTTTGCAAATAATTATTCCAACTAATATCAAATTTGATAATAGTTGGAATAATTATTTGCATAAAACAATAACAAAAAGTTTATAGCTATTATTCTTAGATCAAGTAATGTTTTATATATATAAATATTTTAGAATTTAGCAATTAGAAAAAGTTAATAAGACAGTAAGTCTTTCAAAAACTAAATTTATAAAACGTTCAGTACACAGCTTTGCATATAATAAGACATTTAAAAGCTTCTTTCTTAGGTCTTGACTCTTTATTATTTTCGAGGCGATTAGTTCCTCGAAAATTGAACTTGGCAAACACATCGTACGTAGTGACACTTAAAAAAGTTATTTTTATTATCAACATTTTATATAAAGAAAAGACAGTAGCAGTGTTGAGAAACCTCCACTTAAATGTTGAATAGCAAAAAGAACAAGCTTAAGCTTAAGCGTTAATTAACGCTTAAAAACTATTTTATCTAATAATTTTATCTACACACTTTTCACTATAAAGACTATTGAGGACTAAAAACAACACAAGAAATTCAAAAGTTGTAAGAAAATACAAACTTTTCCATAATGTTCTTGACAACATCTTTAACATCTTTACCCCCAGCAGAAGACAGAGCGAAGACCTGATAAAATTAGAAAATGGAATAAAATCAAATAATATTTTTTTTTATATATCAATAGGTTAATTTTATACATTAAAGTTCAGAAAGTATTAGTAAAGTACAGAAAATTTTCTCAAGACATGTTAGTTTTTTCATAATTTTAAAACTATTTTTAGACTGAAACCAGTTTTAGTTATTCCTAAGTGTAGTTAAGGGAATTAATAAACTTAATTACTCCAAGGTGCAGCTAAGGTGATTTATAAACTAGCAGAATTCTAAAATTTTGAATTAGTATGATTTTGTCAACGTAACAAGTGCTTTATATTTTTTGAGTGTATTTCTAACGTTCAAAAAAACTTTTGAATAAATGTAAAACATTTTACAACTAATACAAGATTACTAATAAATAAACTAGAGATTCTAAAATTGAAAGATCTTGATTCCAATTCTCAAACTCTTTTTTGTGTTTTCGATTCTGCTTTCATGCACACACTTGGAATGGAATGGTGGGCATCATACTGGGCCAATTTTCAAAAGAATCAGAAATCGATTCTTTTTTTTCTTTAGGAATCAAGGGAATTGATTCGAGTCAAAATTTTTTTTGTTTCCTTAAGAATCAACAGAATGAAAATCAGACTGAAAGAATTGTCTTGAGAGAAAAAACTACATGGCCGTCGACACCAGGGGAGGGAGGGAAATTTTTTTTTTCGAGGACCTTTTTTTTAGAAATGTAGAATATTCTTTTTAGAAATGTTGGAGTTTTTTTTAGAATTGTAGAATTTTTTTTTTAAATTAGGGAGTTGCCCACCTCCCACTTAAAAGCCGTGTCGATGACCATGAACTACATATATAAATGTCATAAATCAAATAATAAATATTATTTTACCAGTTTATTAAATTCCTCTTCATTTGCAATTCTTTCCTGTAAATTATGTAAATCTTCCAAATTGCTTATTTGGGATACTTTTTTATTTACTCCAACTAAAGATGATGTTAAATTTAGTAGAACTTTCTCAATATTTTCAAGTCTTTGATCTTGTTTGATCAAGTATTTCATTACTTTAGCTTGAAACTCTGCAAATATAAAAATCATAGTTTTAAGATTATTATAAATTATTCTAATACTGTGTAATAATAACAAAAAAATTATTAATAATCAGTAAATAACTCACAAGAAAAAATAACAAAACACAAATACTCAAATACTCTTTGAACAAACCTGACTCGGTTAAAAGAAATCCTTTAAATGGCGACACAGCTGCATCTTTTCTACTATAAAAACTTATATGTTCTTTCTAAATTATTTTTTAATGATTTTAAAACTATTATTCTAACACTTTTATGCCATAAATTATATTTTATAAAAACATTAGAAAAAGTAGAAAGAAACTATATACCAATCAGACTAATTAGTATAATTTAGTATTTATGCACATTTAGTGCTGGATTAAGGAGAAGGGGCTGGGGTTAATAACCCGGGGGCCCAAAGTTGTCATCATGACCTTTTTTTAAAAGCCATTTTAGTCAATTTTATGTTATGCTTAATCCGCCACTGTGCACGGGTACCTCAGAATTGTTGTTGACTTGTGAACTTTCAGAGGTCTCTTCGAAATCAATCTGAGAAAAGAAATAAATATAATAAAATACAAGTAAAATAATAATGAGTCTTTAACCAAAACAATTTTCTTTTAAAAGAAATAAAATTTATTAAATATTGTCATTTGTTTAGATAATAGAAGAAAATGAAACATACCCCTTCATCGTTGATTTTCTTCAATTTACATATTTTCTAGTAAAAATTATTATTTAAAGTAATATGCAAAAATAAAAGAACATAACATAACGTAAAACTACTGAATAATAAAAACTAAAAAAAAATTACATAACTTTTATACTGTTATTAACAGTATTACTATAGCAAATTTACAACTTTAAAAAAATCATTATTTGTTTTTCAGTTTCCTTGCAAGGTGAAGATCCTCTTTTTAATTTTGCAAAAAAAAAAAAATTGAAAAAAAGAGGCAAAGATCTATATATTGCTGTGATACTATTTATATATTTATGATTATCAATCATAATAATCTAGGCATTTACACATCATCAGTTTACAAACTTTTTGTAAATGTCCCTCAATTGCACACACACATGTATATGTATATACATATATATATATATATATATATATATATATATATATATATATATATATATATATATATATATATATATATATATATATATATATATATATATATATATCACGGCAGTTTCGTAATGAAACATTATTTGCTTAACTATTCAATAAAGATGCGAAACGCAAAAAAAACTTTTAAAAACACTTTTTTTAATTACCTAATATTATATACTTTTTGATAAAAATGAGTAATTAAATTTTTTTATTTTAATAAATATTAAGTTATGCTAGTTTTTATGAAAAAAAAATATATAAAAAAAACATTTATCCAACTTTTATAATTTCTAGAACTTTGCAGTTTCTTTAGTTATAAATATTAAGGAAGTCAGTGATTCTTAATAAATAAGTACTTAAATGAATTTTTTGAGAAAAGCTGAAATGTTTAAGAGAAAGAGTTAAGGTATTTAAAGATTCTGTCAAATTTTGAAGAACCGATTACTTTTTTTTGTAGATTTTTTGAACTTTTTTTACAAAATAAAAATATACGTTTTCCGCCTAAAACTTCTGTAAGTAACTATGGTTACTTTCCAAGATGTCAAAGAAAACGTAAGGAATAACACATCTATCTAATCTAATGAAATAAAATATTCGTTTTTGTCTAGTAACCAAAAGATTAACTATTTATTTTATTAAATATTTATTATATTTGGAAGTAGAGTATATATTTTTTCTTACAATAAACATTAAAATTAAGTTGTTATGCAATTACAATCATATATACAATTATTTAATAAATATCACAAGGCTTTTCTTTTATAAGATTTTCTTTCTTGAATAGTAGGTCTAATTTCCAATGCTTCTAGGGAGTTTTTGATGTAGTGATTAGACAGAATACTTTCTAGTCTTTGCTTCCCTTTCATATGGCAAAAGGTGCTGTTCATACTATTGAATTCAACATGCATGCTTTCTAAACCTTGCTCTCCATAAATATCGAGACCCAAACCCCAATTTCTAATAAAATCAGCACAATGACTTTCTAATAAATGCATTTTTGGCGTAATGGACTCATTCGGCCAAGTTTTACGAAAGTAACTTATTAATTTTCCAATGGCTCCTACTAAATCCAAAATAAATAAATAAATAAGAAAACGTAAATAGAAAACAAAGAAAGAATAATTATGCAAGCAAGAGGAATTTTAATACAAGTAACATAATAAAAATATATTTTTACCTAACTCTAATAATGGATTATTATTAATTATTTCACTTGAATTCATAAAGTTGTAACATATTGCGTATTTAGAGAACAACTCAACAAATTTCTCACTCAAGGCTTTTGCCTCTATAAAAACATCTGTATCAATAAATCCAAGATCGCTTACTATCTTAGGTATCGAATTGCAAAGATCTAGGACACTGTTTAACTAATAGATAAAATATAATTTTATGATTTACAAAATTAGTACCTCTATGCATTACAAAACTATGCGATTGAGAAAATATTTATAAAATTCATATTTACAAGTATGCAAAAATATGTATAGAATTACCTTTAACACTTTATGAACATAATTTCCAATAAAACGTTTTCCGTGGTAAGCTTGTCTTTGAACATTAAGCCCACATAGAACTTCATCAAGTTTTTTCACAAGTGGTCCATGCGATTTTTCAAATGTTTTAGTTTTTAACTCTTCTAATTCAATAATCTATATAAAAAACAGATTTACATAAACACACACACACATAAGCATTTGCTCTTAGATTGATTTATGTTTCATTCACATAGAATTATAGAAAATTTTATTTCATTATTTCAAATATAAACTTATTATACCTTAGCATTTTTCTTTTTCATAAAATGAACTACTCTGGGGTGAAAGATTTCATATAGATATTCTTTATTTTCAGGAGAACGTAGAACTTGAATTGACATTGCTTCATGAATAAGTGTTATTTTTTCACAATATTCAGAAATAGCTTTTTCTTTTTCATATATTCTTAACTGAATTACAATATATTCATCAAAACTCTTGTTGTTTACAGTCTGATTTTTTAAGCACATTTTAGCTGCAATTTTTATATCTATGAGATGACAGCCATCTTCCAGCATATTAAAAAATTTAAGATAAATCCCCAATGAGATATGCAACAATGAAATGCCAACCTAGATTCATAAAATCAATATAAAAAAATATTTACAATTATATAAACAAGTAAAAATGTAATATAATAGAAAAGTGTAATACTTGTGTTAAAGGAATATTGAAAAGTGGAGAATCAATGACATTGTTACAATACTTTGCTAACTTTGGTATTGGACCTTTTTGAATGAATTTTTGGAGATCTGTATCAAGTGTTTCAAGCGTGCGATTGGAACAAGGACTGTGTTTTTGTTGAGTATCTGACTTTTTCATACCTGAACGAGTTATATGACAAAACAAGCAAGCATGTCGACCTAATATGATAATATCAGTTTAAATATAGGATATCAAAAGTCATAAAATGTCACTAAATAATATAAACATCAACTTCAATAATTTTATATTAAGGTTATGTGGTTTTGTTTGTTGCACAATTTTATTATTTGAATTTATACCATTTGCACCAGTAATTCTATATGCTGAACATAAAAACTGGTAATCACCAAAGATAAATAGTCTTATTTTTTCTCACTAAAAATAATTTTTTTCAAAATAGAGTAAAATCTATTAATCTAAATACATTTTTAAAGTTTTGATAAAATAAAACCTACTTCCAACACAATGACTGCAATTGATTAATTTGTTGTGTGAACATTGAGAGACCCACAATAAGGTTTGGTTTGTATTCTTTTGCTTCAAAAATACTAAAATATTTGTGTTTCTTCTGGAATTCGGCTTATCAACATTCACAATTTGGTAACACATCTTAAAAGATCCACCGCCATAGTCACCACCAATTTTGATGCGAATTTCGTCATTTTATATATTGGAATGTTTAAGCAAATTTTTGCTGCTCAATTTTAAATAAATTTAATTTTTTTTTAGAGAAAGTAAACAAAATAATAATAAAAGATATATAAAATGACAACATTTAAATACACACTTATTTAAATAAAATACTATGTATACCTTTTCAGAAGGTTGAGTTTGTTTATTATATGTAATGGAAGATCTTTAATCTATACCCAAGGAGCATTTTTTACTTCAAATGAATCACTGGAGTCTTTTAAAAGAAAGTTAAAAGGAGCATTACAAACTACCCAATCCTCTCCAGACCAGGATTTAGCTACTTTCCGTTGCTTTTTATTTGATGCACATACTATATCTTTGGTTTTGAGCCATCTAAATAAAATTTTAAATATATATATATTTTTTTTTATTAATTCACACTTTCATTTTAGCTTGATTAAGGTTCGTATATATATATATATATATATATATATATATATATATATATATATATATATATATATATATATATATATATATATATATATATATATATATATATATATATATATATATATATATTATATATATAATTTACCTTGCAAGTATCTTCATGTTTGAATATGTTATTCCCATATGAGCTTTCATACTAATCATTTCCTCAGCACTTATAACAGATAAAGGTATGTTTGACATCTTCAATATTTTTACTTGGTCTTTTACTTCAAATGAATTCAAAATAGCAGAAGTTTGCTGAAGTTGTGATGTGCTGGACATACCAGAGATCACATTTAAAGAATTTATAACGGCTTTTTGTCTTTTCTTAATTGTCCTTTTACTAACATCTGAGCTCTCTTTAAATGCTATTGAGTTGAAAATAAAATGTAAAGGCTAGAAAAAAGTTTTAATAATTATAACAAAACATAATATAGTTCATTTTCTTTTGCTACATATTAAAAATGTGCTTACCCGTGTAATTTTTTAAGGTCATTGTCTTTAACTGCAAATTTTAATTTACACTTCTTATTGCAACCTAAAAGAATGTGCTCTATCAATAGTGTTACATTAACAGAATTTAAAATTGTATATAATAGAATGTGTTGATTACAAATAAAGCATTTTGCTTCTGTTTCCAGCTTTCCTTCAATCTCTCTGAATAAACACTCTGAGCAAAAAGAATGCTGACACTCTTTTAATATTAGTGGCTTATACATAATGTTGTTGCATAACTGGGATATACATAAGTCTAAATGGGGATTTGCTACAGGATCAATATCAATTGCATTTAAACGCAATGTTTGTTTTGGTATACTAGCAATTAAGTTATTAATGATTGGCCTGGTCCATCTCTTCTGATTTTGTTCTATTATACATGGCCGACCAGCTTTACATTTTTTAACTTTCCTTCCAGAAACTTTGGAGAAACAGGAACATATGTCTGGACATGGTGATGGCCATTTTACTACTTTAAGACTTGTGCTAGAACCTTTTTCAATGTTCCTCATAATGATATAGCACCTCCTTCACATTTTTTGTGGTAGAATATTTTTATTGTCTATGGTGGTGTTTATATAAAAAGTATTTCCAATTCTTTCAGAATATTTACACACATCAACTGAGTCTTTTGTTATATGTTCTCCACACAAATTCGGCAAATGAGACTTAACTTGGTTAAATGGTCCATGCTTACAAAATATCTAAATATAGCAGTTATGTAAAATAAATAAAAAATTAGCGAAAAAAAAAATAATCGGTCTCCAAAATTAAGTTTAAAGGAAGAACAATAAACTGATAAAAACAAAATTATTTACTTTCAGATACAGAAAATTCGTTTCATTATAACATAGCTGATTACAAAATAAAAAATTTTAAGAACAATATTTAACCATTTGATTTAAAAGTTTTTGTTGAAAACCCTAATTTCAACAACAAAATTTATAAAACAATGTTTTATCAGTTATCTCTGAAACAAATCGCTTTGGTTTGGAAAAAATTTAAAATATCAAACATTAAAAAAATTAAGTTGCAGTAGCTGAGCTTTAGAAAGAAATAATTAAAAAACCATTGATTTTCTCATATTTTATAAGTGTTGACTGCGCATGCTCAGAATAAAGTTCCAATAAGTATCAATTTGAAACTGCCGTGATATATATATATATATATATATATATATATATATATATATATATATATATATATATATATATATATATATATATATATATATATATATATATATACGTCCATGTACGTCCGTAAAATAAAATAGTTTAAAAAAGATTTTGTTTTACGGACGTACATGGAAACTTATTTAAACTTGAATGTTGTCAAACATCTTAGTGTGGAAAAATAAAGAATATTTGTGAAGACAAAAAACCCGCCAAATTTACGAACAACTAATTCTATTGGTTCAATTAATAAATAACTGAAATTACTAAAGAATTCAAGCGACTGTTCTAGAGTATTCTGTTGAAATTTTTTTCAAAATCTTTTTGTTTTTGTTTTTGTTTTTGTTTTTGTTATGTTTTCGTTGTGAATTCTAGCATCAATTGTTTTAAGAATATACTATCAAACGAACAATTATTTTAATACAATGGCTCATTCTCGGAGTCACATCCATAAAGCTATATATGTTTTAAACTATTATTTGTTTACAAAAATAAATGTTTTAAATTTATATTTTTTAACTTGTCAACGTTTTGTAAATATATTATAGATTTAATTAGTATAATCTTATTTTTTATATATAAGGGATGTATTTATATGTATGTAATGTATTAGAAAGTGGTTTATTAACTTCAATTATTTTTGCTTCAGCCATTCTTACAAACTCGTTATACTTACACTTAAAGTTTTTTTTTTCTGTAAAATACTTGTTAAAGATATAAAGCCCACTCACTAAACATCAACAGCGATATTGTTAAGCATATCTGTTCCCTCCTTACAAAGTAATTTAACGTTTTTAGTTAATTTCTATCTAGCTAATTAAATTTCCACAGTAACTCAATGATTTAGTTATTTCATTTGTTCATCTTACTTAGAAGAATTGTTTCAAATATGTTAAACTTTTCAAACTACGCGAAGCATAAAACAGGTACTGAAAAAACATTTTTTATTTATAATTAAATTATGTAGCGTTAGTTTTATTGGTTTAATCTTGTTGAACTTTACAGGGCCGGGGGCTGCATTATTTTGGTGGCCTTTTTTATGTGCAACAGCGTAAAAATGACTAAAAAAAAACCGATAGGTCCTCTTGACTATTTCTCGGTCCATAACATTGTGTGTCCCGGGACTATAGCTCTTCTACCCCCCCCCCCCACCTCTTATTTCCAGCACTGGAAATAAGACATAAGTATATAAATAAAAATTATATATAATCTTTGATAAATTGAAGAACATTTGTTTCTTTATTAAACAATCATTATTAGTACGTTGTTACTCTATACAAAAAATGTCGCTTTTTTTTAAAAAAAACAAAATTATAAAAGAGCGACGTTTCAAAAATATTTGCTCTAATCGTATTTATTTTGCTTAAAGTTTTGCGTTAAAAGCTATTTTTCTTTTTTTTAACTCTCATCGGTCCAGTTTATCTTATTGCGCTTTTTTGCTTGTTTTTAAAATGTTCTCAAAACGCCTAAAAAATCTGGCTGGCTTTTCGCAACTAAATATAATTTCTGTGGCCAAATATCGAGTGCGATCGCACCCGCTTCCTGACCAAACCTGATAAATACAGTTATTAATAAAGTTTAATTTCATTTTGATTATCACATGATGATTCTCATTATTGTCATTTATTTCAAAAAATTTAAATTAAATAGAAAAATAATATATAGCTAGCTATATCTTTTCATTGAAACTTGATGACATTTCATTATTTTTTACGCTGGATGTCTGATTTCCCAAATGCAATAATTTTTCTAAATCCAGAAAAAATTTGTTATTCAAATACAATATATAATTCTATTTATTGGTAGGATGAGCTCGCAAACCTTTTATGGTAATATTC